ACTACTACATTCTACTACTACATTCTACTACTACATTCTACTACTACTACTACTACTACTACTACTACTACTACTACTACTACTAGTACTACTACTACCTCCTCCTCCTCCTCCTGCTACTACTACTACTACTTCATAGTGTCACATGTGGCGCTATCTTAAAGCATCTTAAAGCCAGAAACTAGTTGAGCCTTTCAGGAAGGATTAGGTGCATATCGATTGGCTGTTTATCGGTAGTGGATATTGTAACGATGAACAACTCCTCTACGCTTGAAAAAGACTCCACCAGTGAAACCGACGCAGGGCTGTGGATCACGGCGTAGAAACTCGTGGCCCAGCCATGGTTTCCAATACGGCCAGTTCGGCCTGAAGTTCTCACAGCTTTTCACCAAAGGCTGATCTCTGATCAATTGCCAATTTGCCAATTCTCAAAAGCCTCATGTACCTGTCGTGCTATGTCATGCTTTGATCTCATCAATGATCTACAAACACCTTTTAAACATCCAAACATGTTCAAAAAGAGATCAGTACCCCCATGGCCGCCGGTGGTTTCCATCGCTTTCAGGCAACCATCGCTGTCAGGCTTTCACTATAGAAAAACGCTTCGGAGCTCGGCCAGCTGCCAATCCGATGCACATATGAATCGATATTGTGCGGCAAGTCGTAGTTGATCACGTGAGACACCTGTTTGATCGAAGCCAGGCTCCAGGTGCTTCTGATTTGGACCAAAAATGATCAAATTAATGAAGATATCATGACGTAGTGAGTGACGTGCCAGAATGTGCTGTACTCTCCACCTATACCATCAAGTCCATATCCAAGATCATACAAGCTTGCCGCAGTTTCTGTCGGTCATCCATATCCTCCTGCCTTTGGGATATCCAAACCCCGTGCAGCGACGTCAGTGGCCACCAGGAAGGTGCTCTTCCCACTGCAAGTCAGTCCCAGTCGCAATGAAAGCCGTCTCTCTTGATGGCAAACATCACTTGACTTTGCTGATCTAAAATAGTGTTACTACCAAGAGCAGGATGCCAAGCTTGGAGGCTTCAGCGTTCCCTTTAAAACCGTGTACAGTGTGCTGCAGTGTACACTGACAGTCAGTCACCCAATAAAATTGTGTTGGACTCGAAATGCATACGCAAAGAATTGTCAGGCATGCACTCAAGTTCAATGACCACGGCAACAACTACATGCATTGGCAAGCTGGCTCAGCCTTGAGTAACGCTCTTTGTTTCTTTGTATTAATCATACCGTACCCACTTTAGATACACGCAGAAAACCCATTGCACCTTTTGAATGTTGAAAGCGATGCTTCTCTTTCTTTCTGCTCCTAAATGTGCAGCCGTCAAGCTACTGATCCAAAACAAGGTGCATGCTCACCGGCACTCACAAATTCGCAAACCCAAAGTTCACAGCATTCGCAAAGTCATCCCTGTCCATATCACCGTGGATGGCCACCGAGTTGTACCCAAGCCCCATGAGGCGGTCCTGGCGGGTGTTGCTGCAAAGCCAAGGAAAACCTGTAGCAACCAATTCCGAAAGACTCTATGTTTTAAGCCCGGGGGGGTAGGCCGTAGAGGTAGCTAGTAGTAGCGAGGTAGGTAGGTAGTACCCACAAGCAAGCTACTAGGAACTGGACGCAGGATAGCTCACGCTTCCACTAATGATTTGGTTTCTAGAGTTTCAGTTTTAGGGAAACTTAAGAAAGTGTCACCACTTGGATACAAAATGATACAAGGGATCAGGTGACGCAAGCCCTCTTGAAGCTTCGTTTGAAGCTAACGGAGGCCACCTCCAGCCAGGCGGCCGTGCGCTTCATGGCAACAAAGATCAAGGTGGAATCGGTCGGGTTGGTGTTCAGGACCTCCCAGGCAACATCATGTCTCTCAGAAGCAAGGCCACTGGCCTTCTCCTCGTGAAAGAGGCAGTTCACAGGAGTGAGCAAGATAGAAAAGACATGAAAAGACTGCGAGACCTGACCTGAAACGCAGAAAAGGTGTATCAGTCCTGCATCTGCAATTCAAGCCAAAGAGTTTTGTGCGCCTTCGTGAGGGCTTCGAATTTGCCTGCAGAACTTGGCCCTCATCTAACACTCCAAAAAGGCGACTCTCCGGTTGTTTGACTGTTCAGGCTCGTGTCCTGTGATTCCTGTGTTCGATCCGACTCTTGAAACTTGAAACCCACGGCGAAACCCACGGCGTCAGGTCTGATGATTCGTTTGTTCAAATGATTTCGCAAGGGACTTTGTCTGTTCAGTGAAGCCGTGGCTCATTCGCTCAATTCAAAGAGCTCGATGACCGGCACATTCTCTGTAAAGAAGCCAACTGAAATGATGATTCACAAACGGTCCTTGATCCTAGACTTACCATACCACTCATGTTGTCAGCTCAAACCCGAACCAACATAGCAGATTCTCTCCCCACAATTCAATTGCACTCATAGCGTTGACAAATCCCCCTTGCCTCTTTCCGGAACAACAATAAAGCTCTGCTCAACCTGCAGAGGACGGGAACGACGATTTTCAAGAATGCCCAGCTCGTCTCAACAATTCTCCAGATACTTGAAATCCGTTAGGTAAGGAAAGCCATCCTCTCTTGTGTTTGGAAGAAATATGGCTGAACTTCAAACCCTAAGGAAACAACCTCGCGCTCTCACGCACGTGTGTTCTACAATGATGAATTATTTATGTAATATGTATATAAGTCTTGAAAGTCGTCAAGCTTTAATCAAAGCCTAATGAGGATGAAGCGGAAGATTCCAACATGAAGGAAGGTGCCTACCTTTCACTCCTCCCGCCAGCGGACGGAAATTGACTTAGGTCCTTGCAGTGTCAACGGCACCGCCTACTCGACCTACTCCAATCCAAATGTAGTTCCTGCGCAGAATCGTGCATGACTCAACCAATGGCTTTGTCTGGCTGGCCCTAAAAGGCCAAGGTCAAAAAGTGAGGTGACCAATAACGCCTTTTGGCCAATTCCCGTAATTGGACAACCCCTGGAAGACTCAGAAAGTGGCGGAAAGCTGTGAAAAGGAAATGAGTTGAAGCTAAAGCAAAGCCTTGACGAATTACCTAATAACCAATACAAATTGCGGGCCGCCCTGCCTCATGAAGGCTTGCGCCAGCTTTTGAATCTCTTTGGGAAAGGTCGCGGAAAACATCAGCGTCATCCGCCCCTGCCGGTGAGTGAGTTGCACATGAATCTAGACCTATCAAGAATTGAAGAAAATCCCAACTGTACTATACCCGTACAGGATCAAAAGAATCACTTCTTGTCTCAAGTTCTGCCTCAGCACAGACCTCCAAAAGATCCAACAGCTTCAAAGGGGCTTGTCAAAAGAAATGAAATGCAAGATCCTTTCACGTGCAACTTCCAACAGTGTGACTGTGGAGCTTCTCCAAGCCTCCCTTGAAGAAGGCATATCCTTGGCACAGAAATCACTCAATTCACGATGTGTAATGTTATCCGAAGCAAAGCTGTATTCGTTGTGGCTAACGAAGCATTACAACAGCATGAACGTGTGCCCCAGACTCGGTTGAGACTATGTGCATATTCTGAAGATGCTGTGCTAATCATGGGAGTATGTCCATCGCAGCCATTAGCAAGGACTACCTACCAAAGTGCGGCTACACAAAACACAGTAACAGCGAGAGACGGCCATTTGACTCGCCATTCAATTGACGAGACACTACTGTGGGGCACGTGGCCACTGTGCAACTACCCCAGAGCTTCGGTTCTGGAGCGTAAGAGATATATAGTGTGTGTTAGTATGTGAGCTGTGTCCTATGAGGACTCAAGAAAGGATGTCTTGGAAAGTAGAGTCCTTTAAATTATGCAAAGGAGATGTATGAAAACCGAAACGTGCGCGTGTGTATTCACGAAGAGTTTCAGTCACTTGAAAGGTTGAATGAATGAGGTGTATCGTGTTCCATAAACAAAAAGGCATACTCACAATATACTCACAGTATTGGTTAGTTCATTCCTGGTTTCTGTCGCGCCAGTGAGTTGTTACATGTTGTTACATCTTGTTACTATCCGCTTGCTACGTCCCATTCACTCATCAACAGTATTCATCTGTCGCAATGATTCTCTAACTTCGGTGGCAGCACGAGACATCTGTCGGGGCCGTTCACCCTGAGGCTCCCTGACCCTCTTCTGCACGATCTCTCGGATCTGTGGCTCAAAGCCCATGTCCAACATGCGATCGGCCTCCCCGTCGGCGGAAGGCGATTAGCAGAAAAGGGATCAACGGCCGTGAAACGTGAAACGGCCGTCAAACGGATTCTCAGGGAGGTCAACTAGTGATCCCTCTCAGCCGTGTTGCTACTGAATCAAACATGTCGCAAATGTTGTTACTTTCATCTCCTTGGACGCTCTCTACATTGTCCCTCCCCATACACCCATACTGTACCTGTGAATGAAGTCAAAGTAAGTGCTGCCTCGTCCAAGACCAGAAACCCAACATTGGCCATAGTGATGACTCCACGATCGATGAAGTCGGTCAAACGTCCTCACACTCGTGTGCCGTTGTTCTCCTACTGTGCCCGGCAAGAAATGAGGGACCCTCGCTTTCAACCCTCAAGAAGAGGCATATGCAACATCAAGGAAATTCAAAGCAAGACATTTCGCCAAAAAGGAACAAACACCAGCGCAGTTGTTCCATCTGGCCTTGGCGTTGAATCCAACAGCGAATCTGATTTGAGGAAGCCCGAACAAACAGCTTGATTCTGTGAAGGTTTGTGGCGGAACCACAGTGCCGGACCCCACCAATTCTCTGCCAATCACAAACCTGTTTTGTCACTCTGGTCCTGCATGCTAAATTTGACCTGTATGCCCACAATGATCTGCACTCATTGGCACTGAGGCTGTGGAAAAGGACTTGGCTTGTCAATTTAGTGACAAGTTCAACCATGCTCAACCCAGCTTCAACCTCTGGCCCATTGGGGTAACAAAAACCTTCGCACTCAGTCCTGGTGTGGCCGTCACAAGGTCAACACCTGGCCACCAAAACACCATCGACTCACTGACTCACATGCCAAAAAGTATTTCTTCGCTGGCAAAGGCCAACGAAAGCAGCCACAGGGCCAGGACGTTAGTTTCTGTATGTGTCTGTGTCAGAGGCACCGAAGTGAGCATACAAACTTACAAACCAGGAAAAAAAATAACCTCTTCACTGCAGTGATTATGGTCTGAAAATCTTGAGGGCCCATCCAACCTCATGGATTCTCCAGCCGTTTGGTGTGAGGATAAACCGACCGCTTTGACCACATCCAAAGCAGCTGTCAACTTAGCACCAACAACCCCAGCCAGCTCCAGGCCTCGTGCCAGGTCCAAAAGCTGCGGTTTCGCCTGTGAAACGACTCTCAGGATGAAATGGATGAAAGAATCTGACCATTGATAGGGTATGATGAAGGATCACAAGGATACATTAATGCATCCTTTCATCACAATGCCTCTCTTGCTCAGGCTTTAGAACAAAGTTTGGCTAGTCCAAAAATGTTGAAGAGCCAGCCGAGCCAGCCTTTGAGGGTGCATCGAAATACATCCGAACTCACAATGTCTTGGCCCATCTGAGTTCCAGGCATCTACACCACCATACACTTCGCCAGCGCGGATCTGGCCGTCGGGCAGACAGGTCGCGCAGGGCGCACAGGTCGCACAGGTCGTCCGAGGTCACCCCGGACCCCTTTCGCACAGGTTGTTGGAGGATCGAAGAGATCGAAGGGAGTCACCAGCAGTCAACTGCATACGGAGTGGACCATCCGTCCATCCGATGTCTTAGGAGTGGACCACTGGTCTTGTAGAAGTTGTGCGAAACAAAGGGACAAAGTCGGACAAAGTGGTGAGTTTTGCTGAGGCTGACGGAATTGAAGCCTATTTTGGGTTGGCTGAGAGGGTAGTTGACTGCCTGCAGCTGCCTCCACCTTTACAACTCCTCTCTCATTTGCCTCATCCTTCCAAAAGCATCACATTCAAGATGTCCAAAGGTAAGTCGAGATTGATCCCCTGACACAGTAGTTGTGCACATAGCAAAAAAGCGTTTATGTCTGAATCATGACTAAAGGTGTTTACCTTTACCACTCCTATGCGAATAGACGCCAGTATACATACAACATGGGTAGAACGTTGAAACATTCCAAATTGTCCAAATTCAAGCTGTTCTGATCGAGTTTTTGAATGAAATGTTTGATACAAAGCCACCAAAAACCCATCGCTCCCCACTTGTGCAATTGCGGATGTGCTTTTAAATTGGATAGCCTCTCCGTCTCCTACCGGTCCTACGACCTTCATATCCTTACAATTCTGTCCACCGCCGCGGCCACAGATCCACGTCTCTCCCATCGCCAAAACATGGGATCGCGTGCAGGAGATTGGAATGAAAGCTTCTTCGCCTGGGGCCAAGAAACATGACGAACATGAGGGCGCATGTTCTGACGAGTGGCCCTGACTGAAAAATCCGTTGCTTCGACGCCGCCAGAGTGGGAGTCACTCCAAAGCTTTCACCACATTTGACTGCAGTGACAACTAGTTGTACTGAACCTCACACCTTAACCTCAACGCAGCAAGGCACACGAAAACTGAACGTTCCCTGAAGTGGAATCAGAAGCAACCAACACAGTAGCACTCTCTTGGCCAACCACTACATCAGCACTCTAGACTCAAAAGCACATGCTTGATTGATTCGACATTGATGTGCTTAGAGTAGAGAAGAGTCGACTTGATGGATGCCTGGGAGATTCCCTTGGCCCCAGTGCCTCCAAATGAATCTGGGAGCAAAGTTCTCGGGTGGGAGCCAGCACCACAGCCTGGGCTCTGCTATGCTCTGGCTGTTTGCGGATGACTCTCACCTTTTCTTCACTGACGTCTTTTGAGGTGTTGTTGTCCAATCAAGCGATTTAAGTCATGCGCAAATTTGTCTGACATACGTAGACATATGTGTACATTGCATGCCCAACTGTCTAAAGACACATGAGCGGTCCGGTGTTCAAAATTGTGTTGTCTTTTCTTTCTGAGAATTCCAACCTTGCGGTAATCCTCACGCAAGTCTTATCTTTTCTATGTGTTGCTTTCGGCGACATATGCACGCAAGGTTGTTCTTACGCTGCACTTATTAACTTATGGCGGAGGTATGCAAGTCCACTGTGGTCACATGTGGTACGTTTTTTTAAAATCTTTGGGCCCCGCCGTCGTGAAAGTAAACAAGTTCAACTTCCGGTGACCTTACGGCACCGTTAAAAGCTGCACATCCTTGCGGCAAACCTTACCAAAACCTTATAAACATCTGCCAATATCATTGCTTTCACTTATTCTTTCGCCTTTCGCCGGTCCCTTACTAAAAAGTTGGTAACTTATAATGCCTCTCTGACTCTCAGTACTCCCTTTGTAGGGGAGGATCAACACGGGCCAAAAAGCCTTCCCAGAACAATCCTCTCTCGGGTCATGACCCGTGGCGCTGACATCTCACCGGGTGTGGAGCCAATCACGCTGTAGGCCTGTCCCATTGCACAGGCCAACGGAAGGCGACGGGCAGGTCACCCTCTCAGGGTTCTGGAGGTCTGGATCTTGTCAGATCATTTGTAAAGAATACTCTTCTCTCTTAGATCTCTCCAGACAAGATCTGAGGTCTGGAAGATCTGGAGGATCTTGTCAATATTCAATCTCAGATCGTCTCAGAGTCTCAGATCGTCTACGCTTCTCCCAGTTCTCGAGACGATTCGGAAGGTAAGGTCGAGTGTGAGTTGGAGTTTCTCCGCTTCGCCTGCGTGGTGTCCAGCGAGCTGATGATTGGCAGCAAAAATGCACACGTCTTGCCTGGCAAGGCTCCCAGTACACAGGGTCCCTTTCCGCAACTCAGCATCAGTATTTTACACATTATTGCATATTCACTTGTTATCACTTACTCGTGTTGTTTAAACTTCAACTTTATTACAAAGTGACGTATGGGCCCATGGACTGACATGCAATCGAAGGACCCCTACAGTAGGGGCTTGGCACCAAGTCCTCAATTTATTGTTAGACCTGTGGCCAAGGTCTTCTTCCTAATATGTATACGTTCCTTGCGTGCCGTGTCAATTACAGTAAGTCTATGTCAAGGTCTTGCCATCTTGTGTTGTAACCATTGATCTCTTGAGCAGATTGTTCTGAGCTACCATCCCCACTCTTTCCTGTGCTCCCACAGAGGGAACTACTTGCGGGATGTAGTCATGTAGTTGTATGCAGTTTGCGCTGGTGGGAGCTGGCCGCAAAGCGACACCAAATTTCCTAGCAGTTACCCGAAAGTTTGGGCTCTGAATTTCAGACTTCATGGAAGGACTGGCACTTTGTCAGGGTCGGGCTTCAGATTTACGGCAGGGTAGAACTTTATGGCATGGATGTCGAAGTGCAAATGTTGCCACAAGTGCATCACTTGAGTGCTCCAGTGTGCTCATGTGTCGCAGCACCCCCTAAGCTATTTCTGAGGAAGGAGACTGGGAGCCAAAGATCCTCCGACGATGAATGCAATAACGATTGCTTTGAAGCATATGGTTTTCATGGATTGCATTGAATGTTAGCGCTCATCTAGCAAACTGAAGGAACGATTGTGTATTGTTGTCATTCCGCTTAAACTGAAATGTAAAATATATATATGTGTGTGTACATGTAATATGTAATATATGCGTAGTAATTGTATGTACATTTATTTATTTATAGATTTATGTATATCGTTGTATATATCGGTCAATTCGATGTCTCACACTCATACGCAATCGCACACTTTGGATCCCGTTCAGAGCGCGCGGCCGGGGCTTCTGCAAGGCCCACCTGATCCCGTCTGCGCACAGCACATGGCGTCACTGCCAGCCAGCGCCACCGGGATTGCAAAGCGCTGGATCGGGGTGGGCCTAATGTCGGCCAAGCTCGGCGTCTGATGAAGCCGGGCACTTGTTACTAGTAGCTTCTTGTTGCCAGTAGTAATGCCCTTGTTACTAGTAGCGATGCACTTGCTACTAGAGGCGTCTGATGAAGCTGGGCTGTTCTTGTATGTTGTTGAATGGCAAATGGCATTCAGATCATTCAGTATTGTGAATCCATTATCCATCTCGGCAACTCATAAGCCCAGCCTGCTATAGTGGCAGCGCTCAAGATTGTCCCAGAGGAACTCATGTATGTAGTAACGATCCTGCCCATGTAGAGGTGCACACTGGGACCCCTTTAAGGCTGACTGTTCCCGACAAAAACAAGCGGGAGGGCAACACTGGGATGGGAGGTCATGAATGCATTTTCTGAATGGGCAGCAGCAAGTAGCAAGCAGCCCGAAGAAAATCGCTCGATCTTTCAAAGAAGCGACACGGCCCGCCAATGGCAGATTCCTTTTGAAAGCCTTTGTGGAGTGGAGACAAAAAACAAAAAGCCAATGTCGCTGCGTTCGACATCTTTCCACTCTCTGTTTGAAAGCTAGTTGAAAGTGTCTGCCATCTGGCTTTTGCGGTCAAATCGTTCTCACACGTCTGCCGTCCCAAGATCCACACCCAAAGCTCATCAAAGCTCTCAAGGGCAGTAATCTTCTCAGCCTGGCTAGCGGGCTTAAAAGCTTGACTGGTTCGTTAAGCCAGACACTTTGGTTCATTAAGCCGTTCGACTGATGCCCATACAGTACATACAGCTTGCACCACAGTTAAGCCGCTGGAAGGTTTGAAAGGTTTCAGAACTTGCTCGCAATCACAATCTATGTATAGTTTGAAGTGAAGTCCCTGAATCAAACGATTTCACCTGTAAGGTGATTGACTGCTCAAAGCAAATCAGTTCACATGAAACATCGTGAATATCGTTCCAAGACAAATACATGCTTCATGTTTCATGATGTTTCATGATGTTTCATGGTTCATCTCATGCCACCAGGCTCTGTCCCCACAAGACCCTCTGACCCCGTCTCCGGAAAGGTCAACGGGGATGTCATCGTACCTGGACGTCCAGAAGCCGGTCTCCAAAAAGGCAAGTTGACTTCACTTAAATGCTGGTTACTACTAGCTTCTTGTTACTACTAGTAAGGCACTTGTTCCTAGAAGCGATGCACTTGTTTCTAGTAGCAAACATTGTTCCTAGTAGCTAGTAGTAACAAGCATCCATGTCTTATTTCAGGGCTTTGCAATCCTTTGTGGTTCATAAGCACATATAAGCACTGAAGCTGATAGAAGCTGGCTCACTTGTCGAAATCTATGCCGACGTTCTCACGCTGTGCTCCAAACAAAGAACGTTCAGTGTCCTGCTAAGCTTGCTTGCAAAGAATGCATCCGGCAAATGAACAAAACATAACAAAAGTAGATGCTCACTCAGGAGTGACTAAACTTGAAACTTGAAACCACAACACTCCATTCCAACAACAAAACATTGTGGGGGTCTTTCACTGGGGAAACAAAAAGTCAATTGAAAAGATTTAAACATATTTAAACATCATGAGTCATGAGCTTCACGGATTGTTCCGAGAAACCAGCCCGTTCGCTTTCTCCCAGGCTCCTGGAAGCCCTTGCCCTTGCGGCCTTTTCCCTCGCATGTCCGGTTCGGCCCGCCAATAAGGGGAGATGAGGACACTTCAAGACTCTGCAATCTTCAATCCCAAAGCCTCTGATTTGCTCTGAACCCCCCTTTGTGTATATACCTTTGTGGTAAAGAGACCGGAGGAAAGGTCATAAACTAGGCACCATGTAAGGGGCCAATTCAGACATCTATCATCATCTGCTGAAACAGAACAGGCCGACGCATTGCAAGCATGTCGGCGGCACACCGCTGCTGAAATACTCCTGCTGTTGCCAGAAGTAGTCAACCTCAAAGTTCGGTGACATCCAGCAAACAGGAAGTGCATGAAGGCACAAGTTGTGTCGACTTGCCAAAACAAACCCGGCAGCTAACCCCACACCACCCGCTGCGCCTCTCTTCTTGTTTTTTCGTCTTTGATGGCAGCTTGCTGGGCTTGCCTCATGCGTTTGCCTGGCAGATGCTCTTTGAAGATCTGAAACAAAATCACCCAATCACATGCTTGCATCACTGAGGATGAGGCAGCGATCACAAACAACAATTTGGTAGATCGAGATGTCACATTTCACACTACTAAGTGGGTAGGAATCGTTGTGAATCGCAAAAAATCACCGCCACGCACAGTGATCTCCTGTTCGGGAACCATTTCAAAATTTATGAAACATGCCTGTGAGACCCCATTCGCCACCACCACGGGCAGGCACGAACTGCAAAGCAGCCAACGGATGCCAAGGGAACTCCAATAGTCAATAATCGCTCCACGGCGGCAGTTGATAGCCGACGCCGACGGCTAACGGGAAGGAAAACTGTCAAGGCCACGTCTGTAGCTTCATGAATGTTTCCAACATGCTCAACCCTGTTCGTTCAGCAACTCTTCCAAATTGACAAACATGCCAGTATGTTGCGGAAAATATAGTGAAAATAACATAACACATGCTGGTGGTATCAACAAATACAGGGAGGAACTACTTGTTCAGTGTTAATAGATTGAATATGATTGAATCAAATGCAAAGCAATAAAGGACAAGCAAGCTATCCGATACAACTGCCTTCGCTGGATTGCGGCGTTCCACTTGGCCTGGGATTGTTTGGCTCAAGGCAGTCGGCTCAAACACAACGCAGCGTTGGCTCGGTTGGCAACACAAACAAATACAGCATTTAAAACATTTAACGTGGATGGGCCGGCTGTGGACCTTGCAGAACTATGCAGAACTTTGAATCGAACTCTGCCCGAATCCACTTCATCTTACATATCAAAAGACTCCAGACTCACGACAAACCCTATCGGGATTCAATCGTGGCCCTGAGTGGTCAAGCTTCCCCGCCTGAGCCCTTCGAGTGCCTGGCGCAAGATACGACATTGTTCCATCCAACATGTTCACCGGAGGTGTCTGGGATCGGGCTGTTTCAGCTCCAAGGTTCAAAAGTCCATGTTGAGCAAGTTCTGACTGCGGCTTGACAACTTGACACTGCCCTCCGTGCTGCACAAAGCCTGGACACTTGGTATCCCAGAACCAGAACCATCCATGAGGATTCGAAGCAGTCAATGTTCAAGCTTTTAATGTGCTTTTCGAGGAGAGCGCAGGGCCGAATTGGAGATTCCAAATGAACCGAGCGCAGTTGAACAGCGACCGCCAAGCAAGGAACAGCCGTACCATCATTGTGGTGACACTCAGCATTTGGAAAGGTCTGGCAACAACTAGTGCATTGATCTATCTCCATTGGTAGGAGCTGCTTCCGTCAGCAATGAGACAATCTGTGTCTGCGTTCCAACACAGGTCAGGATGGCATGCCATTCACTGCACCACCCTGTGAGTTGGGACTTCAAGCACCAGATCGGATACAATTACAATGCATCAGGGAGAAAAGGCTACTACCACAGGAGCCTGGCGGTTCTCTCAAATTATCGCAAAAGCTTTTTTGTGGCCAAGAGTCCAAAAGGTCAAAAAACTCTGTACTCTTTCTTGTCCTATGCCGCTTCTGCCTTGTGCATCCTCCAACCTCACTCTTAAAATAATGCTAAGCTCTGCTGGCAATGAAAAGAACTCTTACCTCGCGTCGTTTTGCTCATCTCTACTGTCTCCCTGCCGGTCCTTGCCACCACGGCTATTGAAGCCATAACTGCAGCCGGTTTGGCAGGTGAAAAAATAACTCTGATCATTAGTTCCAATATGTTCGACTTAAGTTCGGTCGAGGCCTACCAGGCTCACCGGAATGAAGTGTCCATGATCTCTGTTGTTTCTCTAACCCATACATCCTAGTTTTTATCTATGTATACATATATATATGATTATATGTATATAGTCCTCCATATAATATTACACAGTTTCCCTGAGGCAATCTACACAACTCGAAGCCTACCCAGCTGATTCGTGTGCAGTGACCAACGCAGCTCGCCTGGACTCACCACGCGCATCTCCATAGCCCATGGCGGCTGGGTGCCCGAGTTCTCTCAGAGTACGGTAAGCACTATGCGCGGCAAGCGCGTTTGAAAGCATCCGCTAGCTGGGTCTGTGACAATGATTTGGGGGCTGGTGGAAGAGCAAACGGTCTGGAAAAAACGGATGATTCCAGATTGTTTATTTCTACTTCTCTGGACTCCCTAGCCACTCAGTTGCGGTTTTTTCCTGCTGGCTTTGTCTGGCCTCAAAGATTAGTCTAAGCAAATGGCCTAAGCCCAAATGCACAAGCGGAGAATTGAACTCTTGGCTCGCTCGGACAAAAACAATCACCAAATTGTTCATTTAGGTTGACATGTCCTTGCAAACGCAAAAATGTGATCCGCTTCTGAATGTCATTCCGGTGCGTTTGTAGCATGTTCAAGCGAACTGTGCGGACATCGCGGATTTGCTTGTGTGGCCATCTGATAAGCACTGTCTCACTTTGATTCGCTTCTAATCTTGTGCTCATCTAGCTGCTGTTGATTTGTCAAGGATCTCAGTATATATGTGTTCTTTGGTGACACCATGTTGAATGCAACGTATGATTGTAATTTTCGTGCGCTTCCAATCATCTTATTTGTGCAAATCACTTGTTATATACTTGCTTCCTACAAACAGCAGGGTCGCAATCTATTTTATTTGCGTCACTCTCTTGTCCGTGTCACTTGGGTGCACTGCTGGATCTTACCGTGTATATATATATATGTACAGTAATTCAAACAAGACAGCTGACTGCCAGCTTGGAAAACTCAGGTGACCACCACGTACCTACCTGTGCCCGCAGTGGCTCACCATGTGTCGCTTCAACTACAAACTGCAAAGGAAGAACACAAACCCTACGCAGCAAACAAAGCTCTTCCAGAAGCATACTTTGGTGGGAACAAGGTCCGCGAGTGTTATTCTTGCCTCAAATAACATGTCTCTGCAGGCGGTCTAAGTGGAGACTCCTTCACAATGATGGGTTTGAATCCCATCTGATCCTCCGGCAAACATGCTGTTCATTCTTGTCAATATGTGCTGGTCTCAATCACAACAGTTAAATCCTGCTTACAGTACTATGGATGATCCACTTAGCCACTTAGCTGGAGTCGTCCCTTTTTTTTGGACAAACTACACATACACAATATCTTACCCACACTGGAAACAGCCACCTTTTGAAATTCGAGCAATCGCAGGTCTTGGAATGAAACAATCTATTGTTTCAAATCTGCATTGAAAACCCAGCGCGAGCATACAGCCCGCTGGACTGCCCAAATTCATCACTTCCTGCAGATCTTCAAGGCGCCTTTGTAGGCTCCTTTCACTTGGGATGCCTTGGTCGATGAGGTCCCTTGCGGGTGGGGGAGCAAAAGAACAACGATTAAAGATCAAAAAAGAAACAAACCTTAAATATCAAAACAGAAGGAACCCCGGCTTCATAAGCAGGGGCAGGTTGTCCTGTGTTAGCCGCACCGAAGACCCTGGAGATGCATGGGCAGCTACGCGTTGTCTGATTCTGTGGTGTACTGATTGCGGCTGCGGCATAGAAGATCATCATAGCAGCAAAGATTGCGCGTTGACGTCGCAAACATGATTTCGTGGCAGGCGCAGCTTCAGATTTCGTGGCGCTGGAGGGGGCGTTTTGGGCGCGTCAAGATCGAATCCTAGCACTATACAGCGTAGCACCCAAGAACAGCGGCCAACACATGTCGGACCGACCTTTCAGATAATTTGCTGTCTTATTGTCTTTCTCTCTTTCCTTCTTTCCTTCTTTCTTTCCTTCTGTCCTTCTTTCTTTCTATCCTTCTTTCCTTCTTTCCTTCAGTCCTTCTGTCTTTCTGTCTTTCTTTCTTTCTTTCTGTTTTTCTTTCTTTCGTTCTTTCGTTCTTTCGTTCTTGCTTTCTTTCTTTCTTTCTTTCTTTCCTCCCTTCCTTCCTTCCTTCCTTCCTTTCTTTCTTTCTTTCTTTCTTTCTCTCTCTTTCTTTCTTTCCTTCTTTCTTCCTGTCCTTCCTTCCTTCCTTATTTCCTTCTTTCCTTCTTTCTTTACTTCTTTCCTTATTTATTTCCTTCTTTCTGTCCTTCTTTCCTTCTTTCCTTATTTCCCCCCTCTTTCCCTCTTTCCTTCTTTCCTTCTTCGTTGTTTCCTTCCTTCTTTCCTTCTTCCTTATTTCCTTCTTTCCTTCTTTTGTTCTTTACTTCTTTTGTTCTTTACTTCTTTCCTTCTTTCTTTCCGTCCTTCCTTCTTTCCTTTCCTCCTTTATTCATGTATATTATTTATGTTATGTTCTTTCATTTATAGCGTTTAGATTGTCGTTTCAGAAGCTAATATGTTTGAGGAATCTCTTCAGATGCTGGCTTACAAGGCAGGGCAGATCACTGAGGGCGATCATGCGGAATATCGTTTTCCACAGAAACAATTCCATCGACATGGGCCAGGGTCACTTCGTTTTTCCGTTTTTCTAAATAAGTCAACCAAGATTATGTCAGTCGCTCATATGCTGCTACGCAGGAGGATTGTTACCGCAGCGGAGCCCCAGTTCCGTGCACCACTATGTCGGACCATCAGGGTGTTAGGTCCATCTCATTCCTGGTCGTATCGGCGGCAGGAGGCGGCAGCCGATGATCATTCCGTGGTGACACCTACCAGGTGTGTCAAGGTCTGTGTAAAAATGACTGCGTAAGAACTGCGCAATCAACCCCAGAATAGTGATATTTAAGGGAGCGGCCAACCTTTCGATGATGCGTCCAACCTTTCCATTCACCAAGGTGCTGCCGTCTTGATGGTGTCCAGTTGAGGCGGCTTCAGCCCGGCCACGTGGAAGCGATGCTGCAAGAAGCCCATCCCCTGCAAAAGCAGCGCTTTAAGCCTTGACCCAGAACTTTAGCATACCGTTTATTAATTGGTCTGGATTTGTTTGGCCTACAAGTTGTTCATATGCATTCGGCCATGTTAAACCATTATATAATATATAATATGTAATATCTACGCGTAATATACATATATACAGTAATCGGTTCAAAACAGACTGTGCGATTTAGCTATTTGATGCTATTTGGGTTCTGACAGCCAAAAAGTTGCCTCCAAGAAAAAAAAACTGCGACACTGTAAGTACACATATGTCTTACATCTTTTGATTGCATGGCTTAGTTGGCAAATGGTCATCCATCATTCATACAGTAATTTATGTGGGAGCTAACACAGTTTGATTTTTAAAAAATCACAAGAATGCTCTCACTGATGAGGCAAATCCGTGGGGTGAATTGTTGAGCGAGCTACTCATGCAGGATAGGTACGGAAATCTATGGCTCAAAAAATACCAGTGAATCCAAGATTGGGTCTTGGTTTGGTTCAAAAAAACAATGCAACCTAAGCAAACCAGGGAAGCATGTCCAAAGTGTCATGCCTCCGCAGCATTCATCCAAGCAATTCTTGTAGTTGAAACTGCTTCTAGACTGTACGACACATTCAACTTACAGAAACAGAAAGTGACAACCCACACTGCCAAAGGCTTCGTGTTCAAATATGATAATTATGCTTCATTCAGCCACTCGATCAGTGTTTAGATGTTCTTTTAAACAGCCTGGACAGCTATGGTGGTCTGCTTCAAGGTCTGCAAAGCCATGGCAGATTTGCAGCCTTCCTCTTTCATGAACTTACCTGAGCAGCTGTGTAATCCGTGACTCGTTCACAACAGGTCGTTCACATCCACAAAAGGGTGACTCGTTCACTGCAGCATGTCTCGTTCATATCTGAGAAAGTGCTGGTCTTGAGATGTGAGAAACCATGTGTTGAGACATGGATGGACGCCATTGGGTTATCAATGGTTGCCACATATGCTGTTGCCGTTCGACTTACCCGACTGACTGTTGTGTACAGAATCACACGACACCACAGCCGGGTGGCCGAAGACATCGCCATCCTGGATGACAGCGGCAAGCTCTCCGATCCTTGGATACTCTTGTGACATCGTGCAATAGAAGAGTGCCAAAAAGCATTGGAAGCACAGAAGGAAGCTGCCTTGCCCACCATCACTTGGCCCAAATCAAGGCAAGGCTCGAGTTTGAGGCCTCCCGCCACAGCTTATGAAGCTTGTGATGATTCTTCGTCATCACTGACATACCTTGTGGCAACATAGGCGCTTGTGCGAGAGTTGCCAAGCTCTGCCAAACACCTCCTATCTCACTTCATTAGCCGAGCTGATGAGGTAATGAGGTGATTACCGTAGCGACACAACGTTTGGAGAAACTCAAGTCTCTGCCTCTTCTCAAACAAAACTGATAGAATTGATAGAATATAGAAAGTGATAGAAAGTGCACATTCCATAAGACCCAAGACCAGAAGTCATCAAAGGCCTTGAATTTGTAGCCGAAGGCGCTCTTCGCATAGCTCGAGAGCAAGTCGCTGAAGCTGGACTTGCAATTCTGGAAATCCTGCCCATTCAAGCAACATGCCTTCACAGCTTCTGAGACAAACAAACCTTTGGGACTGGGCACAGCCGCACAAACCACAGAATGCAACAAATGCGATCAACAACAGGCATCTGTCGGAACCAGTCGGCTTTGCATGACTCATCAAGAGCAAGTGGGGAGATGAGATGAGACGAGTAAACTTGGATACCTCCAGACTTCTCCTCCAGGTCAGGAGTACTACTACCTGTTACAGTAGACATGAAAGGAACAATGGTGGTCAAGGTGCCGTCCCATGTAATTCCACACAAATTCAGCACCGGAACTCCCTCCCTCAGCGTGTAGATGACTTAGTGTGCCGATTCTAAGAACATGTACAGTACAGTATGTCAGAAGCTCTTCGCCAGATCCAGCATGGTTCCAATCCATCCTCCAAGCTGGCGAAGGCCGAGCGATAGCGCGCCACCTCCTGTTCCGCAGCCTGCATCGAACATCCAGTGGCACTCTGGTGAGGTCGATGGACAAGACATGACATGGGACTCCTTGAACGGATGCTAAAAAATCAAACAGCGAGACTTTCTCAGGCCACTAATCGTTCTCTCTCTCTCTCTCCTCATCTTATCTCATCTCATCTCATCTCATCTCTTCTCTCTTGCTCTCTCTCTCTCTCTATGATCTGATCTGCAAGCACTTTCTTCCAGCTTGTCAAGCTGCATCAAGGTGCTTGTCCAGCTGGTCGCGAATCCTCCAGTGGGTCACTTGATAGACCAAAGCACTTGATGATGCAGATCGGCACAAGCAACAAGTCCTCTAATTTATCAACATAGAAGTAGCACACATCATAGATTGTCTTGAAAAAAACTATCTCAATCTATTGTATCTAATGAGTGGCACCCATGCATGCACGTCAATTGCTTTGCAATGTTACAGTCGCTGGATTCAGAAAGTGCGCTAGAAAGTAGAGGAGGGATTGTCAGTCACCTGTGACTGAGTCTTCAACAAGCTCTTCACACTTCCAAGTGTTTCGCCATGTCCTCCACCACAGGTGATCCAAAGTCACCACTACATCACTGGTGTTCCAAGACATTGCCTCCTGCGTCTCAGAGTGGTGCCGCACCACTCACACTGTGAGCACCACGACATGCTATTGCGCCATGCTATGTGCCATCTCATGTAAGTTGGCATTCGTGTATGGCCATCTGTGTGGCATGTATCCAACAAAGGTCTAGAATGCTCACTCGAGAGTGTGATCTTCTTTTACAGTTGCAGGATGCATGCACATGTTGTGCCCCCATGCACAGTTGTACACCAAAGACACCGGGCACAAGCCTCCAGTTGCAGCTTTCGAGAAGTGTTGACAAAGCATTGGACGTTGCGGCAAACTTACAAATCAGGACCTAATTTGGGTTGAGTTGATTTGGCATGGTTTGGCTGAAATACCCACCTTGTGTGCAGCTTCGCTTTGACGTCGGTAGATGCCCAACATGTGTAGCTGCCCACGGAGCTGCTTTTGCAACCGGTTCGCCTCAAAACAATTACTCCCAAAATCTGGAAAGCCGCACCGTTGGTGACTGTCAAAAAAATTCCACCACCAAACCGACCATATATATATAATATTTATTAATATTTGTACAAATATATATACCTGAGAAAGGAGAGGACGAAAGCCAGCGAGAGACCAATATGGTAGTGCAAGACTGGGAGGAAAAAATAGCGGAGCACTTATTGTTGAATGCCTGTAGCTTTCGTGGAGTTTGTATCAACGTGGAGTAGATCAAGATCGGAGCACAACATGAATGAAGTGTTGAATGTTTTAGGTTTTCTCGATTTTCCTGGCGCGGTGCTCTCTGGAGCGTCCCTGTTTGGTGGTCTACTTGAGAATCCGTGTAAAAATAAACGTCAGTGAAGACCAGGAGAAGGATGCCCGAAAGGTGGTTTTTGGTTGTTTTGAAACGTGTTTCGGGCATCGTGCATCAATGCGAAGCCCTATAAAGAGCAGAGCTGGGAGAAAAAAAGAGGAGAGCACTCATTCTTGAATGGTTGTGTTTTCGTAGAGCTGGTATCACTGCGACGTAGATGAAGATCGGAGCACAGCATGAAGTGTTGAATGTTTTTAGTATTATTGATTTGCTTGGTGCGGCGCCTTCTGGAGCGTCCCTTGTTGGTGTTCTATTTGAGAAACCGTGCAAAAATAGACGTCAGTGAACACCAGGAGAATGATGCCCGAAATGGTTCTTGTTATTGTGTTGAAATGTGTTTCGGGTATCGTGCATCAATGCGAAGCCCTATAGAGAGCAGGGCTGGGAAAAAATAGCAGAGCACCTATAGTTGAAAGCTTGTAGTTTCGTGGAGCTGGTATCACTGCGACTGAGATCAAGATCGGAGCGCAGCATGAAGCGTTGAACGCTTGCAGCTTTCTTGCTTCCCTTCTTGCGGCGCTCTTATCCCCAAGCCTCTACCTCGCCCAACTGGACACGCTCACATCGTTCGCTCCCAGAGCGTTGACTCTTTGTTGCTTGGTCCTTCTTCGTACGATCAGAGCTACACAGTCCCTATGCCCTGCTCAGGACTAGAAAAATTCTCTCCGGACCCCTTCATGATGCTAATGATGCACTACTCGGCGTCCATTGCATCACTCGCATCACCAGACCCCATTTTCACTGCTTTTCTGACCCTCGCTTTGGAGCGCTCGCCCCCACCAGGCTCCGGGTTCACCCTCTCAAAAGGTGCCTTTTCGCGCCCCCCCTCCCTTCGTTCGCTCTAAGAGCTCAAGCCTAGCCTATCGGCTGGCTTTCGTAATATTGTTTTTCCTAGAATAGTCTCCATGCCTTCAGCCAAGAGCCAAGTGTTCCCACATTTCTTTTGGAGTGGTCGAGCGTTCGCGCGCGATGGGTGGTTTCGAGAATGCTTCCCTGGCCAAATAAATGTAGTTGGGTTGGCGATATTTGGCCCCATAATAACAAGAAACTACTACTGTAGTAACCAGGTGCATCGCTTCTAGTAACAAGGACGCTACTAGTAGTTCCTGGCATTACTACTAGTAACAAGAAGTTTCTACTAGCATATTATATGCGCTCAGTTTTTTTAATTCGTTCTCTAAACTTTTTCCTTGCCAAGAAATGCAAGAAGGCTATCGGCGTAGGGTTGGCCCCGTATTAGTTCTGCGGGCTTTGATCCTTTCAGATATACTTAAGGCAGCCTCTTGCTAACGTACATGCGCGGGAATTTTGTCAGTGCTCAATCTGGCGTAACGGCGAACAAAAACGTGAAAAACATTTTTTCGAGCGATCCCCACCACGACACTTCAGTCTGAGGCATGTCTTGTGACATTTTTCTGTCACTGCTCTTGCGCAATTTCTGACCTTCTTTCTGGCATAAATCTGACATTCTATACCTTCTGGCATTCTTTCTGGCATCACTTCTGACATTCTTTCTGGCGTCACTTCTGACATTCTTGCTGACATTCTTTCTGGCGTTCTATCTGGCATATCTTCTGACTCGTGGTCGAGGTCCGGCGGGGAACACTGCCAGCCGAAGCTCGCGGTTGAGGTCCGGCGGGGAGCACTGCCGTCCGGAGCTGGCGGTTGAGGTCCGGCAGGGAACACTGCCATCCGACACTCGGTTGAGAGGTGGAGGAGGAGGAGAAGAGACGAGGAGAGGAGACGAGGAGCAAGGCGGCTGACATAAAATCTAAAAAGCCTCACCTGACAGGTGGGAAATACAGAAAAATATAGACATCCCGTTCCCTAACTCCCTAATGCTACATTCCTGAAGCTCGGAAGCTCACGGATGGAAACTGATCAGCTCGGTGCTTCCCGCCGCGCCTCCAAGGCAATCTGCTTCCCAACCACTTGGGCCTTGCGGCGTTCGAGGGGGTTTTTACCTCACCAGTAGTACCGTGCTCATCCTCCCAACGGAGAAGCTCCGACAGTTTCGATGGGAGACCCCCGCAGGCCCAGCCGCAGTCAAAACTACGGCCATTGCCATGCCAGCGATATCTTCTTCATATCTCCCTTAAATCTAAATAGAGTTAAATCATACAAGTGATGAGTGATGCGTATCAAACTAACAAGGAGGCCCTTCCTCCCTCAAACAGGGCTCAAGGTTCTGGCTCAGAAACCAAAAAAGGCTGGAGAAACCGAGAAACCATGCTCGTCCTTCCCAGCCGAGCGGAGCCTTCGTCATGCCGTTGCTGCTGCCTTTGAGAGTCTGGTAGAGCGCACTGACTTGGGACTGAAACTTGCCTGGCGTGGCGTGGACCACATGTAGCGATGCCCTTGGTTACTAGTAGCCATGCCCTTTGATCATGTGGCGCCAGATGCATACCGGTCAATAAGGCCCAAAAGCTGTCAAAGAACTCTCAAAGTGTCAGAATGAGTTCGGTGGTCCCCCCTAACCCTCTAAATATGCCTAAATTGATCTCAGGTGACAAACGGCTCCAGCAAGCCACCTACAGGACTCTTTCTGTCCGTTGCTGCCTCTCAGACATCCCATTCACGCATGCAACCCAATCACGTGAAGAGGCCTCGCCTGCATGATCCATTTGCAGGCTTAGGTTGCCTGTGGACTGCATCCTGGGCACCGACGAGGAAGCGCCAAACGTACTCGCACCAAGGACCGTCCGGTCCTGCTGAAGCCCTGGCGGCTTCTCCTAGAGTCCGGAGTGTCAGCGCTCCGAGGTGTGACTCTGCGTTGAAGTTAGGCGCCTTTTGGACCTTCTATGACCTATATACTGGTGTGGCATTGTCAGGAAATGTGCCCACACAGCAGTCATGAGGTTCGGTGTATGGTGGGTGGGGTCACCTTTCTGGCGTTGTCACCAAGATCCTTGTCTCTAACAGTTGTATGGCCATCCTAGTCTCAACCCCTGGTCCGAACGCAACCGGCATCTTGTCAACTGTTCGCACTTCATCTTGGGAACTGCTCTGCGTGCTCAACGAAGTGGGTCAACCCACCAATGGCACTTCGTCTGGAAGCTTCGCTGAAGGATGAAGCCTCAAAGACAGTGCACAGAAACACCACCTTTGAACATGCACTTAAATGCTAGGAACAAGACGCTACCAGGGGCTCCTGGCCTTACTACTAGGAACAAGAAGCTACTAGGAACAA